TACTACTATTTCTTCTACTCTTACTACTACTACGACTACTACTACTACTACCACTACTACTACTACTAATACTACTACTACTACTACTACTACTACTACTACTACTACTACTACTACTACTACTACTACTACTACTACTACTACTACTTACTTACTTACTTACGTACTTACTTACTTACTTACTTACTTACTTACTTACTTACTTACTTACTTACTACTACTATACTACTCATACTACTTTTACTACTACTACTACTACTACTACTACTACTACTACTACTACTACTACTACTACTACTACTACTACTACTACTACTACTACTACTACTACTACTACTACTAGTACTACTCCTACGACTACGACGACTACGATTACTGCTACTACGAATGCTGCCACTACTTTCATTATTTCCATAAGGACTTCCGTAATGTGCCATCTACGGACGGTAGTGGTTTGGTTTGGTCATGGGTTCGGTTTTCTACCGGGCCCCATTGTTTTCCCATTGATCTCCAATGACTCCTATTGTTTTTGTAATGATTCCCGATGGTCCCAGCTGGTTCCCAGTCATCTCTGTTGGCTCCTATTAGTTCCTAATGGTTCCTATTGACTCCCATTGGTTCCTATCGCGTCCTATTGATCCGTATTGTTCCGCACTATTCCTTATCGAGTCTTACTCCAGATTCCTATAGGTTCAGAATCGTTGTTATTGGTCACATTTGATTCCGGGTAATTCCCATTGGTGCATAATGATTTGTAATGATTCTTTTGGTTTCCCATTGATTCCTATTGATTCCGACCGATTCCTGCTGAGTCCGATCGATTCCCTACCGATTCCTGTTGAGTCCTGTTGGTTCCGATTGATTCCTATCGATTCTTATTGACTCCTCTTGCTTCCTTGTGATTCCTGTTGCTGTTAATCGGTCCCTAATGGTCCCGATTGATTCCGACAGATCTTAGTGATTCGTGTTGGTTCCGATTTGTTTCTATTGCTTCCTATTGATTCCCACTGATTCCTATTGATTCCGATGGATTGCTATTGATTCCTATTGGTTCTTATTGTTTCCCAGCGATTCCTAGTGATTCCTCTTGATCATGATTGATTTCTTTTGTTTCCCATTGATCTGTAATTCCGACTGTTTCTTTTTGATTTCTGCTGATTTTTATTGAGTCCGGGAGCTCTAGGGATGTGAAATCCCAGGAATCTTTCGGGTTTCTTCTAAGGTTCTTGTGGGATCATTAGGAGCCCAGGGTCGTCCTCGGGAATTTTCAGGAGCCCACGGGGGTCTCCAGGAACCCGCAAGAGTTCGTAAGAATCCTCAGGATTCGTACGGAAGTTGTTTTTTTGGGGGGAATCTTTTTGAATTCGTATGAAGCCTCGGGAATCGCCAAGAAACGTCAGCGCTGACCAGAAATACTCAGGAACCAGATGCGTTCGAAAGGTTCTCGAGGGATCCTCGGGTATCTTGGGGAGTCCCCAGGATTCGGGCCGCAAGTGACACGCAGGATTTGCACATTCTGCGTCAGGAGTTCAATTCCTTGATCTGACCCCTGACCGAACAAACCGGCCAGAAACGACCTCCCAGCTAAGCGGCCGCAAATTAAACGCTACCCTAGTATTGTTTTACATTTGCTAGCAGTAGTAGTAGTAGTAGAAGAAGAAGCAGTAGTAGTAGTAGTAGTAGTAGTAGTAGTAGTAGTAGTAGTAGTAGTAGTAGTAGTAGTAGGAGTAGTAGGAGTAGTAGGAGTAGTAGGAGTAGTAGTAGTAGTGGTAGTAGTAGTAGTACCACGAGGACTACTACTACAACTGTTATTATTATTATTTGTACTACTACGACTGATAATAATACTTTTACTACCAATATTGCTTGTACTTTCTCTGATGATTACAACTACAACTACGATCGAAACGACTACCACTACTACTACCACGACGACAACTGCTACTATTAATTTTTCTGCTACTACTACTAGTACCACCACTACTACTACTGCTATTACTACTACTACTACTACTATTACTACTACTACTACTTCTTCTACTACTACTACAACTACGACTACAATCACTACTCCTGCTGCTACGACTACGCCTACGCCTACAACAACTACTACTACTATACTACTACTACTACTACTACTACTACTACTACTACTACTACTACTACTACTACTGCTACTACTACTACTACTACTACTACTACTACTACTACGACTACCACTACTACTACAGCTGCTACTACGACAACCACTACTGGTACTACTACTAGTACTACTACGGCTACTACTACAACTACGACTACTACTACAACTACTATTGCTACTACTACTACTACCACTACTACTACTACTACTACTACTACTACTACTATTACTACTACTACTACTACTACTACTACTACACGAACTACTCTACTACTACTTGCTTTACTACTACTTACTACTTCTACTACTACTGACTACCGACTACCATATTAGGTTGTACTAACTACTACTTACTACTACTTACTACTACTACTACTACTACTACTACTACTATACTTACGGGTACTACATTTCTATACTATACTACTACTTCACTACCTACTACTACTATATACTACTACTACTGCTACTACTTACTACTACTGCTGCTACTACGAATACTTTATTTAGGGCTTCTATTACTACTCCGGACTACTACTGCTTCTACTACTACTGTACTACTACGCAACCACTACTAACTATTACACACTTATCTACTTACTACTACTGTCTGGTAGATTGTGGTTGAGTACTACTCATGCCACTGTATATAAATCTTTATTAGTTCCACATCATTTCAATATACACTTAGTGGTTTTTTTTCTACATACTACTGTTACTACTACCACTACCCCACTGCCACTAACTATTACCACTACTACTACTACTACTACTACTATACTTACTTTAACTACTACTACTATACTACTACTACCTTATTTTACTACTACTACTACTACTACTACTACTACTACTACGACTACTACTGCGACGGCTACTACTAAACTACAACTACTACAACTACTACTGTTACTACTACCACTACTACTACTACTACTACTACTACTACTACTACTACTACTACTACTACTACTACTACTACTACGATTACTACTACTACTACTACTACTACTACCACTCCCACTACTACTATATTACTACTACTACTACTACTATATTTATTTGTTACCACTACTACTGCTACTACTTTCTACGGACTATTACTACTACTACTTTACCACTACTACTACTACTAGCTACTACTAACTACTACCACCACTACTACTACTACTACTACTTACTAATGACTACTACTACTACTACTACTACTACTACTACTACTACTGCTACTTCTACTTTTTCTACTACTACTACTACTACTACTACTACCACTACTACTACGCATATTACTACTACTACTACTACTACTACTACTACTACTACTACTACTACTACTATTATTACTACTACTACTCCTACTACTGCTACTACTGTTACTACTGCTACTACTACTGTGACTACTACTGCGACTACTACTACTACTACTACTACTATTACTACTACTACTACTACTACTACTACTACTACGACTACTATTATTACTACTACTACTACTACTACTACTACTAGGAGTTGTAGTAGTCGTAGTCGCATTCGTAGTAGTAACAGTAGTTGTTGTAGTATCAGTAGTAGTAGTAGTAGTAGTAGTAGTAGTAGTAGTAGTAGTAGTAGTAGTCGTAGTAGTAGTAGTAGTAGTAGTAGTAGTAGTAGTAGTAGTAGTAGTAGTAGTAGTAGTAGTAGTAGTAGTAGTTGTAGTAGTAGTAGTAGTAGTATACGTAGTAGTAGTCGTGGCAGTAGTAGTAGTAGTAGTAGTAGTAGTAGTAGTAGTAGTAGCAGCAGCAGCAGCAGCAGTAGTGGTAGTGGTCGTGGAAGGAGAAGGGGAATTGGAAGGGAGCAGGTGAAGGTGTTCTTCGAAAACAAGAGCCCCACCCAGGACGTAGGGGAAACAGTCGCAGCAAAACTTTGGTTGGAAATGATGTGCTGCCCCGATGTTGCGGCCCCTGGGAAGGGACAGCAGCCCAACGCAAGCTTACGTGAGATTCTCTATCCGAGATCTGTCCAGATTGTGCCGCATACGCCAGCTGCTGGGGTAGAAGCTTGCCGCTGTTCTGCTACAACGGCGACGCTTCCCGAGACACCCTCCTAAGGATCTTGAATTTCTGCTTCGTGCAGGATCCGTCCGCAGCCCGCTCCATAACAGGGTGACACTCTAGCACATCGGCTTCCAAACCTGCGCAGTGGTCTCAGGGATCTCTTCACCACTACCCCCCAGCACGCACCAGACGCTCGGAACGATCGGAGGGGGGGCTTCAGACGGATGTTAGGCTATCTTGCCAGTCGTGCCCGCTCACCATGCACGGCTGGTCGTACGAGCGGTTCGTTGACGGGGCCAGAAGGAGGAGGTGAGGAAGAATCACAAAGAAGTGAAGAAGGATGAGTGGGGGGAGGGAGGAGGGCGAGGGGTAAGGTGGAGGAGGACCTCAGGATTTTCTGCAATGATTCTTGGAGCCCCACGAGTGGTTCAGGCACTGAACAACGCCATTGGTCTGGCGCTGCAGTAGCGCTCCAGAAAAGGGCAGCGCATTCGGCGCTTAGTTGCCTTTGCCAGCAGCTGACGGAAGCCTGCGGTTGTAAAACGGCGGCGGGCTTGCCGGCTGAAGTCAGCAGGGGCGGACGAATTGAAAAAACGAGACGTCAACATTTTTAGACCCTGGGGTTTGGGAGTTGCCCGTTGAGTTCTGGGCACGAAGTCTAAGAGGAGGAGGATCCCGGGGAGATTCTGGAGTTCTTGGCGCAGTCCCCCAGATATTCCCAATCCGTCGTTGGCTCAATGTATTCAAGACTTTGAATGAAAGGCAACTTTTGGCTCAGGGTGGGCTCCAGCTATCTGGCAATTCCTTCGGTGCAAGAATCTAGC